GCCCAGGAGTTGGAGGTTGCTGTGAGTGTGATGCCATGGCACTCTACCCAGGGGGATAGCTTGAGGCTCCGTCTCAAAAAAAAACAAAAAAAAACAAAAAGTTGAATGTGTATGTAAGTTGAAACAGGTACATTTACCTATTACCTGTAGCAGCCTCTGTTCGTAAGTGCAAATTGTATATAAGCCAGACGTTTGTAACTCCAGGACTGTCTGTATAGACTAGGAAGAAGTTATTAAATTTTAGAACCTCAGTAATTTAATTCTACTTCACAGAACAAAATTGAACTTGCTCTTCATTCAGCAGAGATTTTTTTTTTCCATATGCAAGCAATGGACATAGGATGATAGCCACTTGAAGAGACTGGTGTTGTTTGTTTTTCTTACAGAAACAGTCCAACTCTTATGATATGTTCATGAGAGGAGAAGAAATATTGTCAGGAGCTCAAAGAATACATGATCCTCAGCTGCTGACAGAGAGAGCTTTACATCATGGAATTGGTAAATAACTTAAAGTATATCTCATATGTTCTAAAAAATAATACATTATAAACATTTTAAAGACTTCTCAGAAACAGTCTTTATTTTTTTATCTTCATTGAACAGTAATTGCTTTTGTAATTTTTTTAGTTAAATAAGATAATTTTGTTCTGTTTTGGATCTTTTTGTAGATTTGGAGAAAATTAAGGCTTATATTGATTCCTTCCGCTTTGGAGCCCCTCCTCATGCTGGTGGAGGCATTGGTAATATTCTGTTATTGTTTACAAATAAGTTTATAAGTATTAAATATGATATAAATTTAATTAATAAGGTTTTTTTTATAGAAAGTTGTATGTGATGTTAATGAAAATTTGATTTCCAAGGGACAAAATGAACAGCTAACTTAATATGTTCTAAAATATAACTATAAAAGGTAAAGCCATTCTTTTTCTCTTAAGAGTTTAGAAGCAGCTTGGCGCCTGTGGCTCAAGTGGCTAAGGTGCCAGCCACATACACCTAAGGTGGCGGGTTCGAATCCAGCCC